CACTCAACTACCATAAAACAGGTTTAAGAAATCACTCAACTACCACAAAATAGGTTTAAGAAACCAGCCCTCTACCATAAAACAGGTGAGAGAAACCAGCCCTACCACACAACAAGTTCAAGAAACCAGTCCACTACCACAAAACTGGTTCAAGAAACCAGCTCACTATTAGAGAACAGGTTTAAGAAACCAGCCCACTACCACAAAATAGGTTTAAGAAACCAGTCGACTACCACAAAACAATGTTAAGAAACCAGCCCATATCCACAAAACAAGTTTTAAAAACCAAAAAGATTTGAGTCATTTAAACAAATTAATATTCATATGTATCTTTATGGTTTGTATATCCACCATAAATCCATCAACCCACTTAATTACTTATAATTGTCAGAAATATAAAATATTCAATGATTCTGATAAATAGACTTGGTTTTATGTTTGACATACGTACTCTTATTTTAACCTTTCCAGTTTCCTCCCCTTAAACCTCCTTCTTTACTACACATCTCCCAGAAGTTCCTTTTTCTAGAATACAACGCATTGGACCTCCCAATACCCAAATAGGTAGTATACTAGAAATTAAAGCTGTAATGTACCTGCCTTTTTCCTAGGTCTTTTTTCTTCTTAATTTTAGTAATATTTACTTTTCTACTAAATTCTACACATAAATGCTTTTAGAAATACACAATACATTTATTTTTGGCATTACAGGTGTGACGAAGGTAACTTTCAGTCCCCAAGACGTACTTACATCCTACCCTATCCCAAAGTTTTGTGTAACTTTATCGTAGTGGTCCCGTTGTTATAAATTGTTTCAGAACTCTGAGCAATTGGATTCAGTAATGTATAAATTGTTAGGTGTAAGGTTTAGGGGAATTCAAAATAAATAAAAAAAACCGTTCATGTGTTTATATTGGGCCAGGTACTAACTATGTCAGGCCTATTTTAGCCTAATATGTCTTTTAATCATAAATGCTGCAGCAACTTTTTAAAGCTTTTTTTGCGCTACACGGAAAAAAAAACCCTATAAAGTCTATTTGCTTTTAGTCTGAGAAATTGTAAATTTTCCCTGTTATACTAAACCTATCTAATTAATTTTACAATGCTAATTTCTGCCGGCTTCCACCAGGAAAGGATTAGCTGAAAACAAAGTCCAACCCGACAATTACAGTAAATGTCACATTTTGGAAAAAGTATGGTTTCGAACTTAATTCCCTTGATATTTTGTAATCTTTTTATGAAACGATATTGAAAAAATATGCACTGTACTGCACATTACAGCATAAATTGTACGGCACTCTACAGTTTAAACTGTTCTGCACTGTACTGTACATTACAATATAAACTACATGAGAGTATACACTGTACATTAAACTGTGCTGTACTGTACAGCATAAACTCTACCGCACTGTACAATATAAACTCTACCGCACTGTACAGTATAAACTGTACTGCATTGTACTGTATATACTGTACTGCACTGTACAATATAAACTATACTGCACTGTACAGTATAAACTGTACTGAACTGTACAGTATAAACTGTACTGCACTGTACAGTATAATCTGTACTGCACTGTACAATATAAACTGTACTTCACTGTATAGTATAAACTGTACTGCACTGTACAGTATAATCTGTACTGCACTGTACAGTATAAAATGTACCGCACTGTAAATTATAAAGCTATGATCCTCTGTACAATATAAACTGTACTTTACTGTACAAAGAAGTTTCTGATATCAAATGTAGTTTATAACGAGGAGACATCTTGGACAGTTTCCCTTGATATTTTATATTTACTACATTGATCTACAAATTGATAAAATATTGCGACAGTTCAACTTTTAACAAACTTGAAAACAGACAAAAAGTCACAAACCCAGAACCCGCGATTTAAAGCTTCGGCTCAAGTCTTAACTCTTTATACCCAGGTTTAAGACTCAAACTTATGAACCAGCTGTCGACAGCATACGTGTCATGTGATCGACAGCTACCAGTTCTTAGGCTCGACTTAAGAAGTAAGGCCCAAAGAAAATAAAACCGACCTTGGTAGGTTTTAGTAGAGAATTAGACTCAATGTTAAGTCTTTTTTGAATCAATTCCCCTGAATCTGCCAATTCCAACCATGAAAATCCGCCAAACACAATCTTAAACTTAAAAACAGACAAAAATTCACAAATCCAGGGCCCATATTTTAAAGAAATAAAAAACAAACAATAATTGATCATTTCTTACTGCAAAACCAGACAAAAAAAAACTGTTGCAGAATAATATAAAAACAAAAATCAATTAGTATTTTGGCATTAGTAGATTTAAATAATCAATTAATTGCTCATAAATGATTGATTGTAAATTGGCTTCTTAATTATAGATTTAAATAATTAATACAGCTTTGAATATAAAACTAGTTTTTCTTTGTAAAAACATTCATGTTAATTTCCTTTTAAATGGCAGTTATTCACAAAAAATGCCGGAATATATAGTTTTTCAAATCTTATGCAATGATTTTTGGACCTTGCTATTATGTATTTAACTTGCTTTATATTTATGTTGTTTTGTTTTCAACCTTCTCATTTTTCCACCCTCAGCGGTGTATTTCTTGGAGATAATTCCAAAAGAAAGTGATATCTGACCTCAAGCTCTAGTTTTTTTTATCGATATATCATTGCAACCTAGTGTCGGAGACCTTCTATAAATCAAACTATGAATTGAATTCTATTAGATGAAATAGTCAAAGTTTGAAATATAAATGGTTTACAACATCCGGTTGCACTAACTACTTTTAGATCTTTCTAAAAATGGAGGGAAAATATTTTTTTAGTGAAGGGGGAGAGGGGACAGGAAAATAAATCAAATATCTAGATATTTCATTCTAAAGGTTCTGGAAGCTCTTTGAAGTGAAGGTTTAGATAAACAAGAAGTAATTTCCTGTACAATGTTTGATTCCCTCCTTCAACCTTCATTACAAACATACGACCTTAAACAATCAAATTAAATTTAAAATCTTTTTGTACTTTTTGACCTTTGAGATTCTGTATTATGCTCCAAGTTTAGATTACACAGGTCTGAATCTATCCAAGTCAGATTATGTATATCTGAACCCATAAATTCAGATTACAAAGATCAGAATCTATTCAATTTAAAATTATACAGATCATCAAATTTATATTACACAGATCTGAATCCATTAAATTTAGATTACACAGATCTGAATCCATTAAGTTTAGAATATACAGATCTGAATCCATTAAGCTTAGAATACACAGATCTGAATCAATTAAGTTTAGAATACACAGATCTGAATCCATTAAGTTTAGAATACACAGATCTGAATCCATTAAGTTTAGAATACACAGATCTGAATCCATTAAGCTTAGATTACACAGATCTGAATCCATCAAGTTTATATTACACAGATCTAAATCAATCAAGTTTAGATTACACAGATCTGAATCCATCAAGTTTATATTACACGGATCTGAATCCAATAAGTTTAGATTACACAGATCTGAATCCAATAAGTTTAGATTACAAAGATCTAAATCCAACAAGTTTAGATTACGCAGATCTGAATCCAATAAGTACAGAATACACAGATCTGAATCCAATAAATTTAGATTACACAGATCTGAATCCAATAAGTACAGATTACACAGATCTGAATCCAACAAATTTAGATTACACAGATCTGAATCCATCAAGTTTAGATTACGCAGATCTGAATCCAATAAGTACAGATTACACAGATCTGAATCCAACAAATTTAGATTACGCAGATCTGAATCCAATAAGTTTAGATTACATAAATCTGTATCCAACAAGTTTAGATTACACTGATCTGAATCCATCAACTTTAGATTACACAGATCTAAATCCATCAAGCTTAGATTACACAGATCTGAATCCAATAAGTTTAGATTACAAAGATCTGAATCCAACAAGTTTAGATTACGCAGATCTGAATCCAATAAGTTCAGAATTCACAGATCTGAATCCAACAAATTTAGATTACACAGAACTGAATCCATCAAGTTTAGAGTACACAGAACTGAATCCATCAAGTTTAGAGTACAGAGAACTGAATCCATCAAGTTTAGATTACACAGATCTGAATCCATCAAGTTCAGATTACACAGATCTGAATCCATCAAGTTCAGATTACACATATCTGAATCCATCAAGTTTAGATTACACAGATCTGAATCTCCCAAGTTCAGATCTGCTCGGAAATATAAAATAAAATATAAAACTGTGTCTGCAGTGTGGTTATTACACATTATCTGCAGGGTCTCCCTGGAGAGAACTGAAGTTTGGATTTTCAGAATTATATGATTGAGAAATCAGATTTGAAATATTTCTTTTTTTCAGTTTTACAGCTGTGAAACCAGAATACAGAATTGCAAAAATGTTTACAAATATGGGATATTTTTACAGTCTTATTTCTTTCTACCAAGAAAAGAGTTTTAATATTCGTTTTATAATATTTGTGCAGAGGAACATGTTTCTTCAATTTCTTTATTATTCTTGTTGTTACTTTTTGGAAGTTATGTCAAGTTATTGTTATAATGAGCAATATAGTTAATTTCTAATAAAATTTCCAACGATTATGATTTTGTGTTAAAAAGGGGTGTACTGGGCTAGCATAGAGGAATCGAGTCTTTATCAAAAACTTTTTAACCCCCAAATTTTTGCAACCCAATGACGTAGACCAAACTATGAATTCTTTTAGATCAAATAACCTAAATTTGAAATATCAAAGCTTTACTTAATAAGGTTGCAAAGATTAATAGAAAGTTTGAGTTTGCAGCAAGTGTTCAGTCTTTTTTCTTTGTTCTCCACATTTTTTAGATCCGATGCAGATTTTTGTCTCAAACACAACACCAATTTACCAATTTACTCAAAACATCGGATCCATTTAAAACTAGTACCAATCAACTCATAGTCTAGTTTCTATACATGTTACACCCCCTTAAATATTTTAAAGTTAGTTCTCTACCTGAGACAAAGTGTAGATCTATAGTATCCAGGTCCCAGTCTGTATACTGGTAATCATAAAAATCCTTCTCCTCCATATTTATCCCACTAATTGGTCAATCAGTCATCATGAATTCATCAATTATCTAAATTATCTAGAATAAGATTAGGTATCTACAGACATTATATGAACAGAAACAAGAAGCAAGGAACTGGATTAAATAAATAGGAGAAGTGGCAGAACAAAGACACTAGAATCTTCCTATAAGAGGATGATTTATTTGGTGTTCTTTCTCGTTTTGCGCTATATAGTCTGTATGTGTACTGAGCCGAAAACTTTAGAATGGTAAATACCAGAAGCAATGCTTAATCTCCTCTTTTTCTTAATCGCCAGATTAAATAATGCTTGTTCTCTTCTTATTATCAATCTCCAGATTAATTTGCCGATCGGGATTAAGGATATCCCATTCAAAGTTTTCAGCTCTGTTCATGCATTTTTCTCTAGCTGCTTAAAAGTAGGTTTTGTACTTAAAATTAACCAGAGTTTACAGTTACGTAAATCATATTGAACTACTTTCTGTAGCTTGATCCGGCGAACAATAGAACTGGTTGAACCACCGGTATTTGGTTCAACTACTTCTCGCTATTTAGAGCTTTTGTAATCTATATAAAAAAGCTCTTCTCTCATATGCATATGTTAGTTACAGCTAGCTAAACGGCAGGACCAAATTGGCTGAATTTTTTAGGGAAACCATAGTTAGTGGTTACTCTTGGGGTATCATTGGCTAAAAAAATTCGAAATCTTTTTTTTATTCTAAGTGTTTTTAAAATTCCACGGGCAACGCCGGCCACTTCTGCTCGCTTAAAATATTACCTGAATCAACCAAATCTTTTATCTGATCCAAGTTTTTTCTAATCGACATACCTTTAGACTATGGTTCATGTATTAACAATCACTAGAAATACTTCTCTTTCTTTCCTGGATATGGTTTGTGTCTAAGAACCTAATCTAAATATTTGTTCTTTGTTCTTGTGGTTCCCCAGATATCAATTCCTTACCATTAATTATTTATTCATGTTTCTCTCTGGCAGGTTAATCCTTCTCTTATATTCTTTCTTCTTCTGCTTTCTCTGTCTGAAACAGAATTTTTTTTAACAATAGATAAACTACTATTATCTGTTTCTCTGTCTGAAACAGAAAAATATTAACAATAAAATACGCAACTAAGCTGTTTCTCTGTCTGAAACAGAAAAATATTAACAATAAAATACGCAACTAAGCTGTTTCTCTGAAACAGAAAAATATTAACAATAAATACGCAACTAAGCTGTTTCTCTGTCTGAAACAGAAAAAATATTAACAATAAAATACACAACTAAGTTGTTTCTCTATCTTAAACGTGTTAATTGATGAACATCTTTTTGGGGTTAATTTTTTAAACATTCGTTTTTTAAGATGTTAATAATTCTCTAAAATGTTCTCACTATTGAACAAAATTTAATTTCCAAGCTTTTTCATTTTTCTTTTTAGCCTCATAACTTATGTTAGAGTAAAAAATGTGCACATTGAAATAAATGGAACATAAAATTTATTATCTTAAACATATCAGATTCTTGTGGAGCATCCTAAAAGTATTGAAATCTTTAAGAAAAAACATAGTTTTCCTCAGATATCACAATAATTTGATGATTTTTGGTATAATGGGGGCCATATAGAAGCTCTAAATTAAATTCAGAACAATTATTATTTTGTGACTTTTGAGTAAACACGCATTTTTGAATGTCAACAATCAATTAAAGATTTTTTTTAGGCGAAAAATTGGATTTTTCTAAAAAAAACTTGTAAATAAGATAACTTATAAAGATGTTGAGATGTATTAGACCAGCTGAAATGAAACCTTATGTATCTAGCTAAAAAAAGATATATTTTTTACATTTACCAATAATCTTTAATGTGTAAGCTGAAACAAATGTCGTCCGTTTGGCTAATCAAAACTATATGATCACCACAGACTACTTGGACTGAAATTTGTGATTTTTTTCTGCAAATATCTTAACAAAGACAGCCACCCCTCCCTCGCCTTCCTAACCTGCCGAAGAGTTTCAAACATGTGTCACTGTTTACAATAAAATGTTCTTGGCTGTCCTAATACAGTGAAACCCTTAATAACGAATACATCGGAAGAATTCATCAAATGTCGTCTTGAAAATTTTTCAATGAGTTTTGTACTATATTACCTAAATTTCAGTATTTGCGAAAATAAATAAATAGCCATGAATATGCGGGAATATTTTTAATGAGTTCCATATAATCATTTAATTAAAAAACTAAATATCTGCAACATTCCATTATCAGAAAATGAAGAATACGACATTTGATGAATTCTTTCGATGTATTCGTTATTAAGGGTTTCACTGTACGTCACAGTAAAATACATTCAACCCCTGAGGCCTTTCTTTATCACTAGTACGTAATGGTCGATCAGATGATGTCTCCGACTGTGGTTTTCCTATGTACGTACGGAGACATAGTGTATTTTTAAATGGGTTCTTCCATGAGTGTTCATAGTGTATGTCCTTATATTCCACTTAGCGAATGACGTGAGAAACTCTGTCCGTCCTTGAATAACTAACGGGAGACATCTAGCGGTAAAAAAATCGCTCCCAAAGTACGTCATTGATAAAGAACGGCATCTGTCATCTAGATTTTATAACATCTTGTTACATTCATATTTATCAAAAATATGAATATTAAATTACAAATTTTTTGTTTGTGTAGAGAGTTACAAATAAATTAACCTTTGGAAACTGTGTTTTAATGGTATAATCCTTAATCTAGGGGAATCCAAGGGAATGCAGGGGGGGAAAATAATATCATTCATTTTATTTAATCAAGAGTGGTTTATATTCTAATTCTCTGCAGCTACACTTCAGAACAAACAATTTGATATATTAAGTATGAATTAGTGATCCATGTTTTTTGTTTCTTGAATCTGTTTAATTTAATTTTCGGTTATTCTTGTATTTAAGAAACAAAGAGGAAATTCACAGAAATAAACACTTTGAGTCAGAAAACGACATTATCCTCCACATTATTAATCAGATAAAGGTTTCAGGGGAATTGTTATCTTTGTTTACACTTTAAATTACGCTTACAGTCCCTTTAAATTACGCTTACAGTCCCTTTAAATTACGCTTACAGTCCCTTTAAATTACGCTTACAGTCCCTTTGAATTACGCTTACAGTCCCTTTAAATGTAGATATTTTGTGTTTTCTTTTTATACTTTTTTTTGGACTTTGTATTTTCAATATATAAATTAAAACTATGAATAGCGTTACAAGATTAGTTAATCGGTTCACACGGTTGTTAAAGTGATCATTAGACAAGGAGTTTTGAACATTCGGGGGCTCAGCTTCACCTTTGATTGGCTTAGATCCTAAATTCAAAAATAGGAATTTTATTTTGGGTATCTTTAACAATTCCTTTAATGCCGCACTTTGTTAAAAGTAACGTGATCTGAGTTTTATTAAATTGTACGTGAAACAGCCAGCTTCAGATTAACTTATTAGAATGCTAGGAAAATTAATCCAGGGATTCCGGCTTTATATATTTACTTCACACCAAGGAAGATATACTAAGTGTACTGTCATTTTTGGGAGAAATTTAGGCAAAACCAAGGATGTAATGCAAGGAAAGTTATATCAGAAGTGTACACATCTTTTGTACTGTAGTGTACTGTCTCTGGGCGGTAATGTAAACACAAGACGGATGTCAAAGCCTGACATGGGATCCATCTTTCACATAAAAAAATCAATGAAATATTCTGGTCATAGGAAACTATTATGTGAATTATCAAAATTATCAAAATTTAATGCTTTTAACCTCCTCGGATACTAAACGAACACCAATGCATCTATTATTGTTTACAAATTCCGCCCAAAGAGAACTGGTTGCAATGTGTACTTAGAGTATACACGACCACAATTAACTTTCCTTGCGTTACACCCTTGGGCAAAACTAAGATTACGCATGCATTACTCTGAATGTCTTTTAATGAAACTCTTGAGTTTCCTTTTTTGGGGCCTATGCATTTCTGGAAATAATAACGAACAATGATGCATCTATTCTTGTTTACAAATTCCACCCAGAGAGAACTGGTTTCAATATGTACGCAGAGTATTCTCAACTGCAATAAACTTCCATTGCAACGATGCCCTGTTTTAGTTTTTGGGCTCTGAATTGGTTTTTATTCCTCCCAGAAACTATACAGTACATATTTTTATATAGGGGTTCCTGCCATATCATCCTTGCTTCACATTATTCTGCTGTTTTGGTTTCATCATCACTTTATAACGTATTTGGATTAGTTTAATTTACGCTTATTGATAAAAATACGGAATGAACAAAAAATATATATGTAAAAGTCCAGATTATAGCCCTGTTTTTGCAAATACTAGAGCATAAATCCCATTTCACCTCCCCTTCCCGCTTCTCCCTTCCTTTCCCCTTCCCACCTCTTGCTTCCCTTCTCTGCTGTTTACCATATATTAGCATAAAAAAGATTAAGATCGTGTTAAGAAGGATTCTTACATTAACAATTCATTAACTGTATTCTACTCTACTCTACTCTACTCTACTCTACTCTACTCTACTCTACTCTCTACTCTACTCTACTCTACTCTACTCTACTCTACTCTACTCTACTCTACTCTACTCTACTCTACTCTACTCTACTCTACTCTACTCTACTCTACTCTATAACTCTACTCTACTCTACTCTACTCTACTTCCAATAACGAACCAGAAATGTGTGGAATAGGAAGACGACAGTTAGACTAAAGTTATGAAATTATGAAGAAAAAAATCACAAATTGTGCATTGTACGGTGTAAACAGATCTATTGCACAGTTATTAAGTTCATTTTCATACTACTCGATAAACTATTTGCTTCTTAACAAAACGTTAGATACATATTGCTTAAATTATTTCCCATTTGTTGTCTTTATATTTCACAGTGTTATGTGTGACATTTTACCTTTTTTTGTAAAGGCTCTTACTAGCCACGCTAGTTTAATTGGCTTGATTCATTATCTTAAATATTTCAATAGAGAAAAGTAGAAAAAGTAGCTTGTCCGATATATTTTCTATTTTGATACCAGTCTAACTGCTAAAAGCACTTTTTATTTGAAAGTAAACAGACATTGACAAACTGCAGTTGTGCAGGAAAAAATCTGTTATTGGAGAATAAAATATATCAAACTTTTTGCTTTTTTTGGATTTGTACAAGGGAGCACCAAGCAATTCCTAAACCTTATAATTTAATTTAATTGGTATATTAAAGATAAAAGAAATGTGTATACAACTGACTGGTTGATAGGGGAAACTGATCTTAGGTTCTGTGATGGTTTGGATGATTTTGGAGATGGTTCTGATCAAGGTTAATTCTGATATTAGGTTCTGTGATGGTTTGGATGATTGTGGGAGATGGTATTGATGAAAGTTGGTTCCAAAACTGGCACTTGGCCCATTTCTGGCACTGAGTATTGGAAATGGGCCGAATCTGCAAAGTTTTCTTTTTCAATAGTATATATCTTTAAATCCAAGACGAGTGGAACAAAATTACACGATATATTTATAAAAAATGGCAAAAGCTATATATTGAAACAATAAATGTCAATTTTGAACTAATAATGAGGTGTGAGAATTAGTTTTTGATGTTTCTTGATTTCTTTTTCGAACATATCCCTATTTTGAAACAATTTTCCGGATTTCAGCTCATGTCGCGTTTTCGGATCATCCTGGTTTTGAGACAATTACCGGAATTCATATCAATGTCAATTTTTAAACATTTACGCACTTAATATATTAATATCAATTGTTCTTACAATATAGGTTTAACAAGAAATGCGGGAAACTGTTTGTTTAAAATGCTTGAAAAAATAAATCATCCATATTCTCTAATTTAATTGCGGATTATACTCAAAACGGGAAAATGGGTTTTGTCTAGAAAACACGACAATGATTCAAATTCAGAATATGTTCGATAATGGAAAACCTGACATTGTCTTGAAAACGGTCAAGAGCTTTAATATAAAAAGAACTCCTATTATAATCTTGATTTAAATAAAAAAATTTTAATTGGGAATTGTTGTCCTCGTCATGTTTAATAAAATGTTGGTTATAGTTTTTACTTTTGCTTTTCAATTTGTGACCATTTCTGGCAGTGTTGGATGTGGGCCAAGTGTTGGTTTTGAAACTAATGTCCCCTGGATTAGGTTCTGTGATGGTTTGGATGATGGTGGAGATGGTTCTGATGAAGGTTAATTCTGATGTCAGGTTCTATGATGGTTTGGATGATTGTGGAGATGGTTCCGACAGTTTTGACGAAAATGTTGAAATAAAAATGTTTGCATTTGCTTTGAATCAAGATAATTTCCATCTGTCGGGTTAGGTTAGGTTAGGTTCGGTAAATTGTTCTTATATATTTACAGTTTTCCAGGTATAGGTTGGGAAGGATGCCGAGTATGATTTTTTACGCCGTTTTTAGGGGAATGCAGGTGAAAGTGATTATTTGTGAATAGTGATTGTCCCAGCGGAAAAGTTGTGAGCTAACAATACGAACTGCATAAAATGTTGCAAGAGTACGAGATACGGAACGCGATTATAACGGCAAGGCTTAGCTCTGAGATTTTTATTAACAAAGGGTTATTTTGAATTTCTCCGTTTTGCTACTTTTTAATATGTTCTGTTGCCTTATTCTAACATTTGTAAATTTTATAGATCCTTGACATTTCAATAATTGAGCTCAAATTTTTAACTTTAATAATTTATTTTGGTTAAGGGGTGTGGGCACAAGCTCACGCACACAAATAAAACGACATAAATCAATTTCCAGTTTATTATCAAGGTCTTTCTATTATTTTGTTTTGCTCAAGATCGATTAAAAGTCATGTACCCCAACGTTTTGTGTTGCGCCGTTGTCTTAAAAACTTTACCATGGGTAACCCTATAATTTGAGCTCAAAATATGTCGATTACACAAATATTCAATCAGTAGATTTGTGTTTGAAGCTAAGGTATATTTTTATTAGCTAACTTTGTCGATTACACAAATATTCAATCAGTAGATTTGTGTTTGAAGCTAAGGTATATTTTTATTAGCTAACTTTGTTTTAGACTTCTAGAATATATCTTCAGTAATTTGTCACATATATCTTTCAATTTTTTTTTATTAAATAAGGGATGATTAACAAGTGAGGAGGGGGAGGGGTTGATAAGTTTCATTTATATATTTTGAACATTTCAGGTATGTGCCCGAAGATTTAGTCTAGACTTGATTTGATTATTACTGCTCAACACTAGTGCAGAGTACACTGTCATACTTGATTTAACTTGACTTGGTCTAATAATTGGCTTAGCCATGACCAAGGATTGTAAGGCAAGGAAAGTTATTTCAGAAGTGTACACATCTTTTGTACTGCAGTGTACTGTCTATGGGCGGTAATGTAAATACAAGACGGATGTCGAAGCCTGAAATGGGATCCATCTTTCACATAAAAAATCAATGAAATATTCTGGTCATAGGAAACCATTATGTGAATTATCAAAATTTTCAAAATTTAATGCTTTTAACCTCCTCGGATACTGAACGAACACTGATGCATCTGTTCTTGTTTACAAATTCCGCCCAAAGAGAACTGGTTTCAATATGTACGAAGAGTATACACGACCGCAATAAACTTTCCTTGCCTTACATTCTTGGCCATGACTTGATTGCTACTGCTCAGCACTTGTGCAGAGCACATTGTCATACTTGATTTAACTTGACATGGTCTAATTCTAGGCTTAGCCATGACTTAATTATTACTGCTCAGTACTTGTGCAGAGCACACTGTCATACTTGATTTAACTGGACTTGGTCTGATTCTAGGCTTAGCTATGACTTGATTATTACTGCTCAGTACTTGTGCAAAGCATACTTTTATACTTGATTTAACCTGACTTGGTCTTATTCTTGGCTTAGCCATGACTTGATTACTACTGCTCGGCACTTTTGCAGAGTAAACTTTCACACTTGATTTAACTTGACTTGATCTGATTCTAGGCTTAGCTATGACTTGATTATTACTGCTCAGTACTTGTGCAAAGCATACTTTTATACTTGATTTAACCTGACTTGGTCTTATTCTTGGCTTAGCCATGACTTGATTACTACTGCTCGGCACTTTTGCAGAGTAAACTTTCACACTTGATTTAACTTGACTTGATCTGATTCTAGGCTTAGCTATGACTTGATTATTACTGCTCAGTACTTGTGCAGAACACACTTCCATACTTGATTTAAATTATAAATTTTAAACATTTCAGGTATGTTCTTGAAGATTCCTAACAAGACTTGATAAATTTCTTGGCTTAGCCATGGCTAGATTAAAACCTTGATAAACTATATGAAAAAAACTCACTAGGAAAATACCCATCATCCAAACTCAAAACCACTGTTTAGCAAACCTTGGATGTTAGGTATTCTAAAGTGGGGCATGGCTCAAATTTGGTCGTGTGGCTGGGGCCATCCCTGCAACTTATGATTTGAGAGAAGAGCTTATTTTTTTTTGTACTAGGAAACGAAAAATCTCAATCACTCGTTGATAGAACTTTTTGTACGCTTCAAAATTAATCGATTTTAACACATTTTCTGCTTATTATTTTTCAGCTGAAAAATGTCGCACAAGTTTTATTAGATTAAATTAAAACTGTTGCCTCGGATGGCCGAATGTTTAAAATTTTATCTTGTTTTCGCTGATTTTTCAAATTGTGAGAAAATATTTCTGAAGTGAACCCAGGCATTGAAAATCAAGATGTTCTTTTGTTGGACGAAAAATGGGAAAGAATTGATTTTAACAATAAAAATGTTCTCTATGAGCTTATCTTCCAACAGATTTGTTTAATGACAAATAAAATTAATTAGTTGGATAAACCTAACCAGCAATAAAACTAGGCCGAAGGGTTTGCTCACATTCTCCTGGTACATGGGATTACCCAGACCCTCATTCTCCTACTTCTCTCTCCTCAGTTCTATTACACCTAGGAGATTGTCCTGGTTCAAGATACTTTAAGTTTAAGAGAAAAGTTGTTGTTTCTGGGTTGGGTTAGCTCCGTATACCAACAAATACAGTATACTCATGTGGTTTAACTTTGATAAAGCTCGAATATCTAAAGAAAATCGGTCTCAAAGATTACTCAGAAAGATATAAGTTGTTTAATTTGATTACATTTGTGTCTGATTACTTCCACACTCCCTGGACAAAGTACAAAAAGTGAAGGTTTTTGTCAAAATTCCTAGAAATATCATTCTACACAACGTAAGTTGTGCACTTAAAGTGACTGTAACGCGTAATTTTGGGTGACCTGATCCATGCAAAGATGGCAATGCCAGATTCACAACGTAACCATTAAATCATTTATCTGATCAATAATGTGGAAGAAATGGTCGTTTTCCTAAGTTTAACAGTGTTTAATTTGAATAATTTCTATATGTTTTTCTTCTAAAATTTAAATAATCAGTTTTCAAACTTACTCGTAAAATTCAATATCTAAGGAATTGAGTCTTTGCCACAAACTCTAATCTCTTTATCTTAGCAACTTAATGGTGTGAACTTTTGATATTTCAAACTTATACTATTTGATCTAACACAATTCTTAGTTTTGAATATCTAAGGTCTGCGATATTGGGTTGCAAAGATATATTCATAAGAAAATAAGAGTTTGTGGCAAAGACTCAAATATGTTATACTTGATTATATGAAGATTTTAAGGGTACCGTTGTGAATTGGGCATTGCCATCTTTTCATGGAGGGTCACTTTTAATAACGCTTACAGTCCCTTTAATAGCGTGTTGTTTACAACGAACTTACTACCTTCCTAACTTATACGCACTTTATAAAATTAGTCTTCATACGTAAAAAAAAATACAAATGTTTGAATTCAATTATTCCTAGCGTTTGATGGTGTTCTACAACATCTTAAGTATTCAAATTATACATTTGCTTGAGTTTATAGTTCACAGTTTGCGAACAGGAAGCTTATCATAGATTTGATATGAACTAAATATTAGTCACTCAAAACCTGTATAAAGTGGAATAAATGTCGTCTTTGATATGTCTTTTTAATAGAACCGTCGCTATGAACTCTGTACATTGTAAACGTGCAGTCCTTCCCAAATCTGAAGTTACTTTCTGTATTAAAAACATAAACAATTACGACTTTTATTCCGCTGTATACTGATTATATTGTACACTCCCACATTTTGTCCCGTCTATATATTCTGTGGTTTGATTATGTAAAGCTAAATACATACCTTACAGCATATAAGCCTGTATATTCATATTTTCAGAACTGATTAGCTGTCAGCAGTTACCAGAATAACTAGATAGAAATTACGAAAACTTTGTTAAATGCATTTCACGTTGTAACAAGTGTGACCACACTATTATCCTGGTCCTACTGAAGGTATAGCTCTAGGATCTAGGTATCTTGAGAACTACACCAACTACACCACCGTTCACACAAGGGTAGAGGTAGAGCTCTTTTATCTAGGAAGGATCTATATATAGGAGTGGTATCTCCGGGACTGAAAGCCTGACTATAGGAAGAGTCCTAGCCCCGACTACGAGGTTCCAACCGTTTAAACTCCAGTTCCGCCGCACCATGCTAACTCCTCATTCTCATCCTAGTAAACTTATTCTTTATTGATACGATTCTACTTATATAATCGTTATATATATGTGTCTTGTATACTATGTTAACCAATAGCCGGTCAGTCCTTAACACAAAGAAAGTTTTTAAAAATTTAAAAATGTTACATTTGCCTTTTTGAGTGACACTGGATAGGTGTCATAAGCCTTAGATTAACGCAGAGAGTTGGGCGATTTTTGAAATTCGAAACGATACGCCTGGGTTTTCTAACTAATTCAGAAACTTTTGAAAGAAGTAAAAAGTAAACTTCTCCCTATTCTTTTCTGTTCTCCATGTTGCTTGATTCAAATCTTTTCTCTCTGTTCTCCCTGTTCTCTCTGTTCTCCCTGTTCTCTCTGTTCTCCCTGTTCTTCCTGTTCTCTTTGTTCTTCCTGTTTTCTCTGTTCTTTCTCTACTCTCTGTTCTTAATTTCTTTTCTGTTTTCCCTGTTCTCCAATTCTCTTCTGATTTCCCTGCTCTCTAATTCTTTCCTCTTCTCCCTGTTCTCTATTTCTATTTTGTTATGCTTTTTTCTTTTTTTTCTACAGGTTCTCTCCTGTTCTCCCTGTTCTCTATTTCTATTTTGTTATGCTTTTTTATTTTCTTTTCTACCGGTTCTCTCCTGTTCTCCCTGTTCTCCAATCCTCTTCTGTTCTCTTTGTTCCTTAATTCTCTTCTGTTCCTCTGTTCTCAAATTATCTCCTGTTCTCAAATCTCTTCTGTTCTCTCTGTTCTCTCTGTTCTTCCGTTCTCCCTGTTCTCCCTGTTCTCCCTGTTCTTCTTGTTCTCCCTGTTCTTCCTGTTCTCCCTGTTCTTCCTGTTCTCTCTGTTCTTCCTGTTCTCCCTGTTCTCCCTGTTCTTCTTGTTCTCCCTGTTCTTCCTGTTCTCCCTGTTCTTCCTGTTCTCTCTGTTCTTCCTGTTCTTCCTGTTCTCTCTGTTCTTCCTGTTCTTCCTGTTCTCCAATTCTCCAGTGCAGTACTTCTCGTTTTTCGATTCTCTCAGAAATCAAGTAAACCTTTCAAGAAATTGGGAAATTGGCAGATCTAATGATTTCCACTCTAACACAAAAATAATATGAAATGGCTTGATATTAAAAATAAGTTAGAATGGTTATCCAGAATATAAAATAGTTATTTACTCTCAATATAAAATGGTTAAAAAATAAGTAAGTGGTTATAGAATATATACAATGGTTTTTATTTGATATATTTAGGAATTATTAGCTTTGTAAAATGTAAGTAATAAGTAGTTAAAAATTTAAATGGTCAGTTATTTAAAATATATATGATTAGTATTGTGAAGATAAAAAATGGATATTTAGTTAGATTTTTAATGTTTGGAAACTTAAATTTAAGTTGTTAGTTACTTGAAATAATTACTGTTTGCTTTCATGCTCTGGGTTTCAATAAAGATATTTTTCTCTTTTTTCTTATTTTTTTGTCTTGAATAATATTTTTTATAATCATTATTTATTTAACTCTTTATAAAATCTTCTTTGCACTCTATCCTTTAAAGGAACTGTAAACTTCTGCACACAGTAGAGAATATTATAAAGAGGAGAAATAAGAGTTTTTTAGTCCTTTTAAATCTGAAAAGTAGTTCAAATTTCAAAGTGTACATTTCATGTAAATGTTCACATATTATACGCAATAAAAATTATAACAATAATGCAATAAGATCCCTGGACATATCTGTTTCAAGTTCTTCTTTTTATAAAGTTGTAAAATTGACCTTAAAACGTGTATTAGGTGAATTAAAATATTTTTTTTTATTAAACATTAAGACGGAAAAAGCGTTGTTAGTAAGGTGAATACGTGTAAAATGATTTATCTTTCCAGGGCTCATAAGGTTTTAGTGCAAAGTGAATAAATTTAATCACTTTGATTAATGTGTGGATAGTAGTACTGTACTAGTTCAACAAGATGGCACATTAAACTTTTTTTTGACTTATTTTCACTCTACATGATATTGTCTACATATGCGCCTCAAACTGTAATTTTCTAAACCTTATTTATATCTTTACCAACTTTTGATATTTCAAACTATTAACTCTGTTACTCTAATAGCAAAAGTTTGAAATTTTAATGGTATATACGATCCGGTTGCAAAGATTATAAATTCTGAGTTTGAGGCCAGTGTTCAGCTTCTTTACAGATGGTTTATTTTCTCTACTTTTCCCTGATTTTCCGCCTGTTTTCTTTCCCTTTGTCTTCGTTCCAATTTTCCTTTGCTCCGGGCATCAGAAAGAGGAGAAGAGGAAGGGGAGGGGAGATGGATGGGAGCGGGGAGGGGAGTGAGTGGGGGGGGAAGAAGAGTACAGAGATTTAGATTTTATTCGCTTTGAAGTGTATTGTTATGTTTACATGGTTGAACTACTAGAGCTGCTACAATTTATTTCATTACAATGAAAACAGATTTGCAAAGGAACATTGGTTAACATACAGTGATAACTAGAAAACTGTAGAATAGTAAGACGACATGAAGAGCAATACTGAAGTGCTTCTGCTGCTGTAGCAAAGCAAATAGCTTTACTTGTAAGGTATTACACCACTTGTTAAGTTCAATGCATCTGTTTACACTGCACATTTGCCTCATGTTTCTTGGATTATCTAAAGTCATAATTCAGTTAAAAGGTCCGTTATGACTGTACAATATTTTATTTTAAAGCTAAATATGAAGAATAAAATATATTTTCAAATTTTTGAATTTTTTACTTTCTTAGAGCTGTTTTCTCTGAACGTGGCCATTTCTAATTCGAAATTCTTTTTTGAATCTTTCGCAATTTTTATTTTACTTTTTTCATCTAATTTAAACCTTGCATTATTTTTTAACTATTTGACTTAAAAACAAGAAAATAATATTCTAATACTAATTTTATTCACAAGAGTACTCTTTGAACTATCTTCTCACAATCGATGGCGAAAAATAAATTTGAGATTTTAGATTCTAAATTCTTTTTTTGACGATAAAATTATATTTTGGATTATACAAACATTCTTTTGAAATGCCGTGGTCAATAGCACTGGGAATTTTTGATAATATAGGGGTAGCCAATAAAGTCTCAGGATATAAGTTCAAAGGAATTAAAATAATAAAGAAAATAAATCTGAAGAAAACAGATACCAGGCATGATATGAGACAATTGATGTTATCTATTGATTTAATTGAAAGAAAAAAAGTCCTAACTCTTGCGGAAAATGAGGAAAAGTCTGAGACGGTTTTATAAAAAAGGGCTTTTCTTCTATGCATCTGCATATTAAATATAGCCACGGGTGTTTTTGATATCAAGCCCTTTTTTCCATGGTTGTAAACATCCTTTGTTCCCATGCATTTTCAATTATAAGAGGAATTTTTTCCGGAGACTTTTTTGTATCAAATCATACTGGAGGCAGAAAAAAAGCCTGGAAAATAAGGTCTCAAGATTGTAGGACTTCATTTCCAGAGACTTTTATTTCATGGACTGTTTTCACGGGACTTTTTATTACAAGGACTGTTTTCACGGGACTTTTTATTACAAGGACTGTTTTCACGGGACTTTTTATTTCAAGGAC